GATTAAAAAATAAAATAAAAATAAAAACCCCTACCGTCAACATTTTCATAGTTACAAAAGTGATACAAACTTCATACGAAATTCAGGCAATATTGGGCATGCTCATAACCATGGCACTGTCCTACCTCACTAAGCCAATTCTTCCCTCCTGTTTTGACTATTTTATTATGCTCATCATTTTAAAATCAGAGATCCTTAAACTGATGAAATTAAGTTACTATAAAGGTTAGACCCCAAAAATATATAATGAAAAATTAAAGTTTAATATTACTTCATTACTGATCTTGCTTCCTTTTTATGGTAGTTTTGGATTAATTTATGTTATCTAAATATGATGAGATATTTCTGGGCAACATTATGTTTTTTTAACAGTTTTATTGGCACATCGTCCACATGTCATACGATTCAAAACTTCATTCATATAATGAAGTGTTGTACACTCATTCCCAGCATTACGCTTTCTTCTCTCACCCTTTATAGCCCTCCCTGCTTTTCTGATTGCAGTGGGGTGTTCCGAACTCACCCAAATCCCAATATATAAGTACTGCCACCACCTCCCCCACCTGGGAAGCTCAGGGTGAGAGGGAGGCACACTTGAAAGCCCAGGTAGCAGTGGTCCTGGGAACCTGCCCACCCAGTGGAGGCTGGGGACTGAGTGACACCAGGAAGGGTTCACTCCATCTCGGACCACCTTCCTCCATGTGGGAACACTGGTTCCTGAAGCCTGCTGTGACGTTTAGACGTTCAGCCTATTGTACATAAAGTCAATGGCAACGGACAACATCAACAAGAGCAGCAGAAAGAATAACTTACAGGTTGGTGGTTCAAATCCATCCAGCCGTGGAAGAAAGGCTTCCATAGAGATGATAACCAAGGAAGCCCTGTGGAGCAGGTCTAGCCTGCACCCCAGGGACTCACCAGGAATCAGATTCCATTTAATGGCAACAGGCTTTTTTCTTCCTCTCACGGAAAAACAACAACAAAGGGATTAATCTTCAAATTAGATGCATAATTTGAGTTTTCAGAGCCGTATCCATTTTCATGAAGCAATCAACCTGGATTAAGTGTTGTTGATGGGCCACCCGATACAAGGATATCCTGAGCCTTGCATTATCCAAGCCTTCGTTTCTTGGCCCTAACTCTGCCCCCAAGTGGAGTCAGCATCCTTGTTTGGCCTCCAGGAATCTGTCTGTACAACAGGTTCCAGATAAGGCCTAGACCAGAGGCAGGCAGGCAGGCCGGCCGGCTGGCCAGGTGGGGTGGTTCTTGTGTAATCCCAAACCAGTGTCAGTATCTGTTGCCAAACAGTGGAAGAGAAGCCGGTTCCAACTCATCACCATCCCAGCTCTCCCAGCCCTGGTGACGAGAGGCCGAGGAAGCGGGGCAGCCCGGTCAATGTGTGGACATGATGGATGAGCCGTCAGCCCTACGGAGGTGAGGTGGTCCAACGTGGTGCTAGCGATCTAGACCAGGGGTGGGGACCTTCTGTTCTGCCAAGGGCCATTTGGATTTTCAGAACATCATTCGTGGGCCAGACAGAGTTATCAACTTAAAAATTCACTTGCTCTATTTGGCCAAACACTTAATTAACTCACCCTTCAATGTGGTGGCTGGAACTGCTGCTCTCTGGTGAGGTGTGTGTTCTTAGCTGGTAGATGATTCCGTTCTGTGGGCCTTTTACCAAGGGCCGCAGGCCGATTGTTCCCTGTCCCTGATTTCGACGGACAAGTCTCTGTAAAAAGCCAAAACCCACCGTGAAGGCAACATGGTTTGTGCCTCCGGAGAAGGGTTTGCTAAAATGTAATCCAGAGAAATCCGTAGTCAAAAGATGGGCAATATGTTTAGATTTTAGTTTATTGCTAGCCACCCTCCACCCCCACCCCCACCCCCAAGAAAATGAGCAAAGTTTGTTTGCTGTCCTAGTGAAGCAGTTGGACCATCGACTTCATTGGAAAACAGTCCTATTTGGAAAGGAGGCTTGGTTTCCTGTGTCAGTGACCTGCTTAAAGAGAAAGCCGTGGGTCTCTGCTGGGTTTCAGCGTCCCTTGTGCTGCTGCAGCCCTGACTGAGCACTTCCACAACCCAGGGAGAAGCTGCTCTGAGCACTGAGAGCATGTCTGCTTTCAGGTTCGGGGCTAGCCTGCTGATGGTGCTGGGGTGTCTGTGCGCTCGTGGTTCGCCCTGTGGCATCTCAACACACGTGGAAATAGGTAAGTGGCTGCACTTTGCAGGAAGGAATGGAGAGATTTAGAACTCTGATAGAATGTCTTGATAGGATCCCCCTCGTTGCACTAACAGCCTGAGAGGGGAGAGGAGAAAGTAGTGATTGGACACATGCAGGGGTAAAGATCGTCAAGGTGTGTTTATTAGGGTGCAGTGGGGGTCAGAGAGCAAGTGCTTCTCTGGGTGTTTGGGTAGATAAACAGTGAAGGACTAGACACATGAGGGACTTCAGGGAAGCCGCACTGAGAGTATGGGGGAAGGGAGAGACGGGAATGCTGTGAGCAGTTGTCACGGACTCTGTTCTGACTCAGGGCAACACCGTGTACTTCATAGGGCTTGCAGGGCTGTGACCCTTCAGACGCTGATTGTCAGCTTTTGTTCTGCGGGACCTCTGAGCGGGTTCTAACCACCAAGCTTTTTGCTTAGAAGCCAAGTGCCTAACGATTTGTGTCACCCACGGATTCCTAAGGGTGCAGGAGTGCGGGATTTTTGTTGTTTCGTGTGTTGTTGTTTCTCATCTCTCAGGACAGGCATTTACGAGCACAGGCAAGTGAGTCCCCTGAGTTAAATGACTTTAGACGCGGTTAGCTTCAAGGGGGTCAGGAGGTAATAAGGGTGTTTGAATGACTACCTGGATTGATTTTATAGAAGCAAAACAAAAGGCAAAACTCACTGCCATTGAGTCAGTGCTGACTGATACCGACCCTGTAGGACAGGGTCGAGCTGCCCCTGTGAGCTTCTGAGACCGGAGCTCTTTATGGGAGTAGAAAGCCTGGTCATTCTCCCGAGGAGCAACTGGTGGTTTTGAACTGCTGACCTTGTGGTTAGCAGCCCAGTGCTAAACCAGGGTACCCGGAATGATAGCAGGGGTAGAGGGGTATAGCAAGCTACTGGCAACAACCAGTTGCAAAGGCAGAGGAATCTCGACAGAGGTAGGTGGTCACCCGGGGATCATGGCTATTTTAGTATTTTCTTTTTTTTTAAATCGTTTTATTAGGGACTCATACGACTCTTATCACAATCCATACATACATCAATTGTGTAAAGCACATTTGTACATTCATTGCTCTCATCATTCTCAAAACATTGGCTCTCCACCTAAGCCCCTGGTATCAGTTCCTCATTTTTCCCCCTCCTTCCCTGCTAACCCCCTCCCTCTGAACCCTTGATAATTTATAAATTATTATTTTGTCATATCTTGCCCTGCCTGACGTCTCCCTTCACCCCCTTTTCTGTTGTCTGTCCCCCAGGGAGGGGTCACATATAGTTCCTTGTAATTGGTTCCCCCTTTCCAACCCACCCTCCCTCCACCCTCCCAGTATCACCACGCACACCACTGGTCCTGAAGGGCTCAACCGTCCTGGATTCCCTGTGTTTCCAGTTGCTCTCTGTACCAGTGTTTTCATACATGTGAGAATTATGAGCTAATTTGTAATATAATTAGATATGATGGCCTCCTACAGCAATTTCCAGATGAGTTCCAGATATACCTGATGTTCTGACTTTTCTGTAGTTCAGATAAAAGCAATAATGATCATTTGTAGTTATACCACATGTAGGAATTACAGAGCAGAGCAAGATTAAAAGCAAAATACAGGAACATATCAAGGAGCCCCGGTGGCTCAGTGTTGCTAACCACAAGGTCCGCAGTTTGAATCCACCAATCCCTGGGGAGAAGTTGAGGCAGTCTGATAGATGAGGCAGTCTGATAAAATGAGGCAGTGTGCTTTTAGAAAGATTCTCAGTCTCTGAAACCCTAGGGGACTCTTTTACCTCTGGAACCATTTTACTCTGTCCCATAGAATCACTGTGAGTTAGAGTCAGCTCAAGGGCAATGGGCTTGGGTTTGAGTTAGAAACTTACTCGGGGAGAATAGACCTAGCTATGGAACTGCAGTAGGCAAGGATATTATGATCCTGGATGATTCTGACCTGAAGAGACGCCAGAGGTCACTGAATCCAGTTCCTGAATTTTACAGACGAATTCAGCAGCTGATCCCAGCGAGGTTTTGCCCAGTGTCTCTGCTCTTTGTTAGTGGCAGGTGTAGAATTACACGTCCTGACAGCCAGTTCTGTGTTCTGTCCGTTGAACATTTATTGCTAAGAGGGAGGCAGGAGGTATTGGAAAAGAGCATCAGACCTAGGGGCTAATGCCAGCTCGCTGCAAACTAGATGTACTGTCCATCTGGGAGCAAGTCAGTTTTGCCCTCCCTTCCTCATCCGTAAAACAAGGGAACTCAACTTCTAAGGGCTGTGAAGTGACGAAAATGTGTCCTGCCGTGCGAACACACAAACGGGCCTCTGTCACGGTGTAATCCTTAGCGTTGAAAGA